TATATATATGATACTTACGCAAGAATTGTTATCTCTAATAAGAGTATTAGCTCCTTCCGAAGGAGCCACTCGAAGTGGTGAAGAACATGGCAGAGATTCTGAAGGCGAATGTAAATCTATAGGTGACGATTCCTCATCAGCACAATCAGTGCTTTGGGAACCTTCATATAAGCTTCTATCGTTGACCACTGCACAAAAAATACTTAAATATTAATACTTAAATATTAATGTAATTAATTTTAAACAAATAAAATTATATGTATATTATAATTGAACCAAAAAAATAATATCTCAAATTATTTTTGTATTAGTGATATAAAATACTGGAGTGTTCATAAAATACTGGAAGACATTTACTATTTTTCTAATAGTACATACATATATAAATATATATTTTACTTTTAAAAATAACGAATTTACCATTAATTGTCTCTTCACTGGTTTTTCTTATATCTTCTGTATAAGGTCCCATTTCAGTAGTTGCTTGAAACATAGCATATTGTAATGGACCATCATATGCTGCAAATATATTAAAATACCTTTATTAAGCACTCTTGTGATTTATAAATAAAATATTGTATAAATTACATATACGATATAATATATATGTCACATATATTATAAATTATATATTATAAATATTATACATCTAAATACACAATATTATAAATCTATAATATTATGCTGAATTACAATTGTATTATTGACAATTATAGAATTATTCTATTTTATTACCATGAAGTTCCTTGTTTGGATTCATCCATTTATTCGAATGACTTGTAAGCTGTGCACTAGATACATTGGATGCTTGTACCATTCCACTAGCGCCAGTTTGTCTCTTTTGTTTCATCTTCTGTGCAATCAATTGCCTCTACATCAATTAATAGACAATGTAAAAAAATTATAACAAAGTGTCATTTATTAATTCAAAAACTACAGATAAAAATCTATTAACTCATTTAAAAAATATTTGTCCGAATAATAAATTAAATTCATGATTTGCAATAATTATTCATGATTTGCAATAAAATAATGCTAATTTTCAATAATTTTAAGTTCATAAAATATTTCATTTATTTCGGATAAGCATCACCTGTCATCACTCCACAGAGCCTAATTATTGTCGTTTTTCATCAGGGATATATATTTTTCATATAAAGGAGAATGAATATTGTGATCAGCTCTGAAGAATTAAATATTACATGATATTTCAGTATTAGTATAATGTTTACTAATACTGTGACCTTACTCCCATAAATAGGAAAGAACTAAAGTTGCCTATTATTAGCCGATAAATGTCATGTTAAGCTCAAGCATTCATTAATTATTCATCCAAACAGAGAGATATAGCTTGGATTTGTGTTTCTGGTGCTTGCATATTTAATACAATACATCATCAGAGGCTAATTTCTTTCGAATTTCTCTGATAAATTTCTCGGATAAATTGATCTTTTGAGAATATTGCAAGTGACAATTTTCCAAGTAAAATAAGTAGTTACATCGTACGAGAAGCACAAAGTTACATGCTCCGAAATTTACGTACGGCAAATTAAAAGTCTCGGTCCATCTACTATGCATAAGATCGCACCTGTTGTTCCAGCTTCTGTTGTCGCAAGTCGAGTGATGTCATTTTGCACGAAATCAGTTTATCAGGCGATGATCAAAGATGCGCAGCCACAAATCGCTGACAAACCAGCTTTGTTTACGCCAAACACACTCGTTCACCTACGGTACCTAGGCAACCGTTCGCCCTGAGCTCCTTCATAAGCTTTTCACGGCTTTTATGGCGGACTCGCAAAGCTGAAGAATGGCGCTCGATTAAAAAGGGTCCCAGACACATCTCACAAGAGAATATAACCAATTGATCCCTTTGATTTTAGTTTTGGATATATTGGTCATATGGACAGTAATAAGAAATGTTTTTCTTTTATGCATATTGCATGTGTTAAGAGAGTGAAAATTTCTCTTTGAAAAAATTAAAAATTTTGAATATCTTCGAAACTATGAGAGATAGAAAGAAATATTATAAATAAAAATTGAATGATTTCAAGAATATTTCAAGAGTACTTTATAATAATTATTACAAAGAAATTTATTTTAATGGAAAATTTTTTTTTTAAATAAATTTAAAAAATTTGTTTTAAATTATAATTATAAAATATTCTTAAAACCATTTAACTTTTATTTAAAATTTTTTTTCTATATCTCATATAGTTTTGGCGATATTTTACTCTGAAAGAAAAAAAGTCAATTTCTTAAAGGATATTTTTACCCTTTTAACATATAACTCAGCATGTATAAAAAAATCTTTTATTTTTGTCAGCTGATGTGGTTAATTAAACTGGGATGGCATCTGATTGGACATGAGCCATTCATAGAGTTTTAGACTAGAAAGCTCCTAAATATCCTGCTGTGATTGGTGATGTCCAATCAGATGTGGTCAATCGAGATCCTTCCAATAATTGCATGGCGTGTAACTGCGCTGCTCCCTTTTTAAAAAAGAACAGACCTTATAAATGACCAATCACAGCCGAGAACTCCAAAATGGCATCCTCTAATGACTCCAGCTAGCTCTCAAGAATTTACATCATTTACTAGTATGGTTAATGCGATGCTACAAATGCTTTAAAGCAATTTTTGATTGGTCAATTTGTAAAATTCTTTTTTCTAATCTTTAGTCAACCAAAGCATTTGTAGTGAGACTTTGACCGCAGTCTACATCTCTAATCTCGAAAATTTGTTAACGGTTTGGCGTCTCCCTCGTGGTAAGTTTAGGTTTAGGTTTGTTATTTAAACAACCAAGTAATATTTAACTCTCCGAGCTTTGTTGATTAATATAAAAAGTAAAGTTTGAAGGTTTTCTGTACTTTTACGTAAAATATGGATGATGAGGATGAAACATATAAATTGTGGCGCATCAGAAAAACCGTGATGCAGCTATGCCATGACAGAGGTTATCTTGTCACGCAAGATGAATTGGATCAGACGTTAGAACTATTCAAGGAACAGTTTGGAGATAAGCCTAGTGAGAAAAGGCCGGCTAGGAGTGATCTTATTGTTCTTGTGGCGCATAACGATGATCCTACGGATCAGTTGTTCGTTTTCTTCCCAGATGAACCAAAAATCGGCATCAAAACCATCAAGACATATTGCCAGCGCATGCAAGAAGAGAAGATCCATAGGTTATTTTTCATATTACAATATTTTATATCCTCCTCAGTTTTATTGCTCGTAGCCAAGCATAGTGACTTATATGCCTGTAGTACTCTGGTTGTACGCAGTCATATGGGACCTACAGTTTAACATCGATTTCGAACGACGAAATTTTATTAGAGAAATTGATGGTTTGCCATTGCCTTCCGAGAGGAGCTATACATGTTTGAAAAATTTTTCCGTTCTTCCTGGCA